GGCTTCAGATACCAAAATGGACTAGACCACATCAAATCTCTAGATATATGGTGCCCACAGACTTCTGAGAATCTCTTGAGTTGGGTCTAAAAAGATGCTGTTTATTGAGACTGGAAGATGAGGGGGGCCTTACCTTCAGTATGTAAGGTGACTGTTCATGGTCATGGCTGATGCTGTTTCTGCACCCTCCAAGTGCCCCTGGAGTCATTATGTTTACTGGGGTGGATGAGGTGCTGAAATCTATTGGTCATGTTTGATTTGGAGGCATATTTAGCACAGACCCTCTGTGGGGACATACGTTGGTTTGTAGATACAGAGTCTCTTGGCTATGGTTTGTAACTATGACCTTTTGTGCTTGGCTCAGTGAATCATACCATTCAGCAAGTGCTTTTGTTGAATCTTTATTCTGTACCAGCCAGTGTAGCAGGTGCTAGGGATAAAGAGATGAAGGACACAAACAGTCCTTGATCTCATGGGTCAGAGAGGGAGACATACGTGGAGCAACAATTACCCTCAGTTTGTTGAATGCTAAGGAAGCACAGGGGAGGCACACTCTGCCTGTGGGGCTGGTGGCTGAAAGAGGGGGTGAAGGGATTCTTCAGCAGTCTTTAAGGATAAGAAAGGGCAAAAAAAGAGAAAGGGTGGGATAGAGAGAGAGTGAGAGGTAATAGAATGTTATTCCAGGCAGAAGGACCAGGATGGAGAGATGAGACACAGGTAGATCTTTCTGGCTGAAACACCAGGTGAGCTTGTGGGTGAGGAAGTGGGCGGGGAAGGGGAGGAAGGGGGACAACAGCAGGACCAAGGAGGGGCCAGAGCAAGAGGGGTCTGGGATGCCATGGACAGCACTGTAGACTTTATCTTAAGGGAAATGGGAAGTTATGAAGGTATTAATCAGAAGTGTGACAAGATCAGATGTTCAGGAAAGGTCTTGATGGCAGCAGTGTGGAGGATGGGATGGTGACTCCAGGGAGGGCAGATAGGAGATTTTTGCCAGAGCCCAGGAAAGAAGCGATGAAAATTTAAATAAGGCCGCAGGCCTTATTCTATATCAGACAGCTCTTGAATTTAATGGCAGTTCCTTCTAATAGTAACTGCATGACCTATGGCAAGTTACCTTACCTCTCCAAGTTTCACTCTCCCATATATAAGATGGTTCATGAGTGCTTATCTGGAAAGGTTGTGAGAATTAATTGTAAATGCTTGGAACGCAGTAATCACTGAAAAATTATGTCTTTATTCTTATTCTTGCTCTTATGCAGCCACCTTAATTTGGAGATTCCCCCTAAAACCAGGCACTGAAACAAGGACCTAGGGCAGGGGATCCCAGGAAGCACAGTGAGGAAAGTGAGACAGGGAGGGAGGAAAGCCAATGAAGGGGATGTTGCCGAGTGGGTTGCTGCTGTGGGCAAGTGGGGCTCAAATTCATTTGGGACCCTGGGGATAGAAATTGTCCCTGAAAGGGATGGGAAAACTGGATATTTATCCACCAATACCTGTCCCTAATTGGCCAAGGGATGGCTCTGCAGGTCTAAATCCCCAGTACTTCCACACTGCCCTGTGCACAGGCTGAACAAGCTTCTGTGGCCCCAACACTGATGGGACCCCAAGTCCTCAGCGATTCTCAAGGAGCAGAGACAGGTGCTTGAGATGGAGGCTGCCACCATGCAGCTGGAAGTGTCCTTTGTGGTCGAGGTGAACTCAGAGGTCAATAGTGGGGGCGCAGGCAGAGCATCGTAGCTACTACAGTGGAAGGAAGGGACAATTAAACATGTCGAAACTAGACCTGGATGAGTGGAAGTAAGAAATATGGTGAAGTCTTAAAATGACTTTTGTGTTTGATCTAAAAACTGAAGTCCCATTCATTGAGTTTAAACCAATAGCCAGAGGGGTAGTTTTAAGGGTAATGGTGGCAGAGAAGAAAGTATGATTTTGACTTGGACATGCTGAGTCTGAGGTATGTGCGATCTTGCCAAGTGTCATACTGGGTTTGCAAATGAAATTTCCCTAATTCTGTATTAAATTATACAGGCTTCACTTGGGCATATTGAAATTCCTTAAACAAGTTTTGTGGGGGCCAATCCTGTACTCTGTTAGTGAGTGAAGATTTTGCCCCTGCTACAAGAGCATGTTTAATCTGGTGCTTTAAGTGATGGCTTTTAAAACCGCCTGTTCTCTCTTTCTACCTGCTGTTCACTTATTAGGTGACTTTGAACCTGTGGGTGAATTGCCTTGTAGATGATTTTTCTCTGAAGAAAGGGAATAATAAATGCTCTCTTGAATTACTGCATAGGTGTTGAAAACTAAACAGCATTTTCAAAACCCTTCTGAGTTGTTGCAAAGCACAGTGCCCCGTTGAGTATTGTATTACTTTGCTTCAGTTTGCTTTCAAAACTTACAGCATTCCAATTATCCTATTGTTATTGAATTCAGTATTAAAGTGAGTCTGCTTGTTTACTAAAATGGAATTTTTAGATGATAAAAGCTCAAATTTACCAAGTGAGATATGCCAGACATTTAGTTAATTATGCCATGGAACTCATCCTGATTTTACATATATTATATACATGTATTTTTTTCTCCATGTGCATATATATTTGTATTTGGAAAACATGCATCCTGTTTTTGCTCTGTTCTACAATGCATTTTCAATAGATGTTGAAACCACTTACACTTTAGTTTTTTGAAGTGGTTTCTTTGATGGATATTTTATTATATAGGAAGCATAGGACATCCAAGTCAACGGGGTCAGACATAAAAATGTGAAATAGGTGAAGTCTGGCTTTAGCTTTCTCTTTCAAGGTGACCTCCCACTTCCCCAAGGGCCTTCCCATGTGCCAGTGCTCACAGCCAAGGTGCCCAAGAGTTGTCAATTTCTATCTCCAAAGAGATATTTGTGGTACCATCACGATAGTCTTAAGTCTGGTGAGTTTGTCTGCAATGTTCACGTTAGCCGTACTTATTTGCATAGTGTTGACTATAATGAGTGAAAGGAGAGGAAGTAAAGAGAACAAACCAGTGTCAGAGCAAGGCCAGACTTCCTCAGTTTGTTTTGTCTGTTTCATCTCCTTTGTGGGGGGCACTGCTCTGGCAATTCCAGTAAAAACTGGCTCCAAAGGAAGGCAAGGAAAGAGAAAGATAGAAAGTAGTGGGTATTACTATAGGCCAGGCATTGTCCTAAGTATTCTGCATATATATCATCTCATTTAATTTAATAAAGCAATATGTTTTCTAAAAATGTGCTTGAGAGTAAACATTTTTGGGGAAAAGCAAAAAGCCTCTTTTATATAGCTCCTGTTTCTCTGAGGGTTCCTGCTGCTGACCCTTAGAGGACTGAATTGTGTGTTTGATATTTTTTAAATTCCAAGCAAAAATAAGGTCTTTTAATGGTCATTTCTCTAAGGGGAAAATATGACAATGACACCATAGAGGTTTTGCAAACCAAATTTTTGGAATAATGAAATAGTTTTCACAGCACAAAATAAAATAATGACAATGACATTATTTTACTTTTGAAGCACAAAGCAGGCAAACACCTTCAGAGACTGGACAATTTTAGACTGCAATGTGGGATTCTTCATTCTTCTGCTCTGCATTTGATGCAACTGGTCAAGAATAAAGCTTTAAATCTTAGAATGGGAACTCTGCTCCCCTGGGGCCTGGCCACCATGGGTCTGGAACTGTTTGATAGCCTGGCCACATCCAGTGTTTTCTTTCAGAACCTGAGTTCTGGGCAGTCTGAGCTTGTCAGGCACAAGTTCAGCTCAGGCTCAACTCAGGTTCGTTGCCTGTAGAAACCACAGAACTTTGCACAGGCCGTGTGGGTGGCGAAGCACTTGTGTGTGCCTACCCTGCTGTTCAGCTTGGAGCCACCACTGGTTTCAATTATGACTTCAACAGGCAGCTTTGAGGGCTCCTCTGTTCATTACAGTGCCTCACACTCTATAATTAGTAATAAAGGAACACAGGCACTTCATAAATATAAAGGGCTAAACAGTAATCAGGCAGTAAAGGCAATGCATTGGGACTTTTCCACCTAACACTTTGTTTCTTTCAAGTTAAAAAACAAAACAAAAAACTTGTTGCTTCATTTTATTTTCTTGCCTTGAATAATTGGGCTTGAATTTAATCCTGGCCACTTATTAGCTGGGTGACTTTAGGCATTTTATCTAACCTCACTGTGCCCCAGTATGGTTTTTTAAAAAATTTGTGAAATGAAGATAATGATAGCTCCCATCTCATAGGGATAGATTGAGGATTAAATGAGATAATTCACGCAGAGTGCTTTGTAAGGAGCTTCGCTCATGTAAAAGCTTGCTCATTAAATGTTAGCTCTCATTATTATCTTTTTAATTTCAAATGACATGAATGCATAGAGTGTAAGACATAGGTCTTAAAAACCTTCCATTATGTACATTTTCAAACGGAAACACACAAATAGATTGGTATAATTACCCCCTACACACATGTACCCATGCTGGCATTGTGATCAATATTTCATCGGTCATTTCACATAGCAAAATTTAAAGCAAATTCCAAGCATCATGTTATTTCACCCATAAATTTGAGTGTCTTTTTGATATTAACATCCCTAATATGCTAAAAGCTCCTTGGGACTATGTTTTCCTAACCTTGAACTCCAGCTCCTAGGAGTTACTATGGTTATAGTAAAAGCTCCATCAATGTTTGTCTAATTAGTGAATGAAAAGCCCAAACCGCTTTTCTTGACTTAATGGTAGATGCTCCATAAACATTTGTTGAGTGAATAGGCAAGGGCGGGAATTTTGTAGAGTCCCTAATGTTTATGGAGATGCACATGTTTTACAAAATCAACAAATATTTTTAATACTTTGGTGAGGCTCTCCAATACTTGAACCCCACAGGTTTAATATTGCAGTGAACATTAATAATGCCCAAATACTTAGCCTATCCAAGGTTTAATTCTGGCACTCAAATTATTTGTGAATGTCTGACTAGGCAACTTCATGAAAAGCAATGAGCAGATTCTTCAAACACATGACAAATCCTTTATTACTGTGCTTATAAGTGACACGGTTTACAGAAAACCAAATGTAATTAAATAACATTGAACTTGAAATCTACCACAGACTCAAGATATACAAGTTATACTTGGCAAGGCAAAACTTCTCAAACACTAGGTTGTTTCAGGTAAAAGATAAATGTCCGTTAAGTAATTCCAACATGTTTTTGTTTTTTTTTTTGTCTTACAGACATTTCCTTTGGCAATAACTTCCACTTTAGCTTTTATTATATAAAAATATAACAAAATTTCATTATATACAAACATTACATTACACAATGTACAGGTTAAAAACACTAAGAAAATGGCAAGCTGCAAGTGAAACTAAAGTCAATAGCATGATAAGAAAAATTAAATACGGCACACATTTCATAAAAATTACATTAACTACATTTTTGTTTGCAAATACCAAACAGTACCAATGTGATTGGAAATAGCTTCCAACAACTTCATTTTAAGGCACATCTTGCATATTTATATATACAACACTGAAACCGGTCAATAACTTAGGGGCTTCTCAGAGTGACCTGTATATGAGCGACGACATGCAGCAGGGGGTTACACATTTTCATTGGCTTCCTTCTTTGGGGACAGGTACCTGCCAGGGGAGGACTGATAGAGGGGTACCCCGATCTCCTGCAAGTCTGGGAGCCTCCCCGGACGAGGTGGGGAGAGCAGAGTGACTGTCCTGTCATAGTCTCTATGCAGCACTTTCTCATAGACACTCTGCAGCCCCACTGTCTTGGGCAGCTGGGCCTGGTAGTAATGGTCTCTGCGCAGAGGATCCCGAGGCAGCGATGTGCTCTTACAGAAGGTTGACATCTGGGCTGGTGGGTGGGCCGAGGGATGAGCGTTGGGCCCTCCGCACGAGGGGCTCCAGCAGCGGTCAGAGTGGCCCAGGATCTTGCACTCGGCCGTGCAAGCCCACAGCCCTAACATAAAAGGGAAAGGGAGAGACTGATTATTCCTGAGATTCCTCGAACGCTTCCATCTTCAGAATGTCAGAAAGGGGGGGGGAGGTGGCTGAAAAGGAAAGCCTGTATGGGGATGAACGCCACTGCTTCCTGTAAAGCCGCCTAACTCTAAGTTGGCTCATTTTCTTTTGCTGGAAGCAAAAGCCAAAAAACCCCAAAACAAAACAAAACCCCAAACCCCAAACCCCCTTAACAGATAGCTAGCGTCACCCCTAACTCGGCCTACCAGGATGGGGTCGTGCTTAATTCAAACCGTGAAGCTGCCTCAACCTTGCGTTTTAAAAATTCATTTTATGGGACCTGCCAACTGCAGGACTGAAAAGAGTGGGGAAGGGGGAGTGGGGCTGGGAGCGGAGATCGAGGGGAGGGGAACAGTGGCAGAAGGGGAGGGAGAGAGGGGAGGCTCAACTGGGTGGGAAAGCCAGGCCCTCACCACTCTGCATGTGGTGGATGAGATCCTTCTTCAGGGCGTCCCCGCTGATGTCGGAGTCGCTGTCGTTGAAATCACTGTCCCCTTTGCCGCTGTCTTTGCCGCTGAACTTCTCCGCTTCCCGGCCGGAGATGGTGTTGAAAGAGTGTCCTTTCCAGACCGCCACGGGGGGCGCCGCCTCCTTCACGAACCCCGGGGAGGCACCGTAGGGCTGCAGCGGGGAATGAGGGAGGCGGGGGTGAGGGTTGGGCAGGAAACAAAGCAAAACAAAACAAAAACACGCGCGACAGGTTAGCATCCGTGGAGCACGCCCACCCGGACCCCTCCAGCGCCTTCCCCCAGCCTGTCCTCGGAGCACCGAGCGGGCGCCCGGCCGAAGGAAGGCCTCACCTCGGCGTGCGCGCCGCGGAGCCGCTGCT